ATTGAACTAAAACCAAACGCTGGTAGCCTTGTGAGGATTTTCTGAAATGGGGTTTTGTATTCCATCTGCACTTCCTTCCACTAAGGGAAGAGAGTAAGTGTCCCCAAAGATAAGAATGGAAATTTTGATCACTTCCTACGTTATTAGTTACATACCACTATCCAGCCTACCTCATTAATTTCCATACAGCCCTTTGCATACAGGGAGTCGGAATATAGGTAAAGGAACCTGGCAAGGAAGTAAACTCCCTTCTCAACCAAGGCAAGATGTGCACCTCAGATCTTGCGCTGATACAATCACTGAAATGCAGCCAGGCAGGTCCTGGCGTAACGGTTTGCCAGCAGCTATCCAGTCTTCTAATTTTCAGATGTCCGTTGTATATAGTTCTCTCGTCCACACTTCGTGCCGATGGCTTCACCTTGCTAGAAAGGCTGACGTTGTTACCACCTTTACATCCTGCCATGGAAAGGTGTCATGGTTCAGGCTGGGCTGGGCACTAAACCAACGCCGAGAGGGCAAATGTTCCTGGGTTGGTGAGCAGCAGTGTCACAGACACAGCAATCCATGAATTTGCTTCTTCCAAGTTCACCAACTGCCCTCACCTTCCTTCTACAGTATTTGCACACAGTACACAAGAACCTGTTGTTACGGAGCGTAACAGAAGAAGAATTTGATCCTGGGAGAAAGACGGCATCCTAAAAGAAGAGACTGCGACTTTGCTCCAATGTAAAGCAGCTTAACCTATTTACGTTTCAAGGGAGAAAGAACGCTGAATAACCGCTTCTCTGGTCTTTCTTCCTATCCAGGTACCTGTGTCATACATACAGTCTTCATTTCCAAGCATTCCCATTTAACTTGAAAGCAGGTGTCTTGCTACAGCTGGTACAGCCTTCCACATAGGAGAATCCGTTTCCAAGCAGGTTTCTCCTTCCACACCTATGTGAAAACTGGGGAAAAATGTGCTGCGTCTAGAAGAGCATCAACCTTATACTTTATGCGCGTCTGGCAAGAGACAGAGTGAGGCAGCACAGCCTTCTGTTCAGGGATTTTCATGATCAAGAACCCACGTCATCTTCCAAACAAGAAAACATAAGAGAACGTTTATTTGAAAATGAAGAAAAAAGTGACTCAGAAAAAATGCTCAACTTTCAATGGCCTTTAACAAAAGGAGCTACAATGTCTGAATTTTGACCACACCTCAGAAATAAATTCGGAACAATGATGCAGTACGTAAGTTGATTTGTGACATTTTTGGACAGAGGAAGATCTATCATAAAGGTCACTAAAAACACTTTAGAAAAATAAATGCATGGAAAGCATTTTGAAAGCCTAAATAAAGGGAAAGGAGAGGAAAGCACACAAAGATAAAATATAGGAAGATGACTCAGAAACTTCTAACAAAGCACCAGATCTGACACCAATACTCACTATGGTCAGTGACAAGTAATTTAACCTCACATGTAAAATGAGGGTAGTAGCAACCTCCTGGGGCACTGGGAGACTTAATTAGTTGCTATTCGTAGATTAAACAGAAAGTCTGAAGGTGAAAGCACTAAATGCTAAGTATTATTAGCTTCTGAAGTATTAATTTCTTTAATTGGGCAATGCCAACATTACAAAAAAGTGGATCAGTGTCAATTTTTGAAAGAAATTTATTCTCACGGTTCTATCATGTCAAAAAGGTACCCAAACAAGGAAATTTTGCTTTTAAAATGTAATAACTGGTAACACATCTATGTAATACACAATGCAGCTTGTCATCTTCAATTCCGAGTTTCTGACTCCTACCCAAATTTACATTCCACATTCCTGAACAGGAAACATCATGTCATCTTAACCAAACAGCTCTGAGAGCTGCAAGCTCCCAGAGCACTCTGTGAAACTCGCACTGCTGTGCGTTCCCCCCATGCTCCTTAGGAAAAGCTCACAAGCATCGATTCATTAACGCTGGACATGTTGGTTTGCGTGGCTGAACTCTTCCTTACACTGCCTGATCCCACTGTAGCCAGCGCTGGACTTCCCGAGCCAGCTGTGCCTGTGGTTTTTGAGCTGATTTCTCTGCTCTTCCAAGGTAGGGATAAATGACCCTTGTAGAAGTTCCAAACCAACAAGAAAAAGAAAAAAAGAGCAAACCCAGCTCCCAAGAGTTTTAAAACGACCTTCTCTCTTTGGCTGTTGAGAGTTTTCTGGTTTGCTGCCTCGTTCAGTAAAGGTGGTGGTACTGAAGACTGAAACCCCTCAGCTCCTGCTTCAGTATGCTTATTTGCTGTG